CCTTTTCGAATTCCAGCAACCAAAAATTTTGCTCAATTCGCAAAAATTGCAAACAAGAACCAATCTGTAATAATTGATATTATATCGGAAATAAGCAGCTTCAATATACTCCAAAACCATCGTTAAATTATTTTGTCCATCCAGCTTTTGTTGTACGGCACACTGTGCGCCGGGTATCTACTGGTTATTATGAAATAAATACTTGCACTCGAAACAAATTTTCGTCTACAATCTCTAATCAAGGCGCAAAACTTCAAAAAAAAAATTTCATTAAAAAGAAAAATTAATCGTATTGAAAACGAATTTTCGTTGTCGTATTAGAGCAAAATAAATTTAAGTTTTACGTACACATCGTGTCCACAGTTAATACAGTAATCCAGATAGCCAAAACAAAAAAAGGAAATATGCTTATTTGACATTTTGTTTGAATGTATTGGTTGATATTTTTTCACAGTTGTCGTTTTCGTTAACCCAAATGAAATCCAATTTAAATATTTTCTTATAGTGAAAAATATTTTCAAGTCACATAAAATAAAATAACGAGAAAAACCAAATTCCAAGCAAATCAAGCGTGAAGCGTAAGCGATTATGACCGGATGCAGTTCCTACATAAGTCAAACCGTGTTCCGAACACAACTTTGAGTGAATAATGGTGGGCTGACTTTGTATGTAAAATGGTCCCATCGATTAGGCGGTAAAACAAGTATTACTTAGCTTATTTTGGAATGTACAAAATTTGTATGTATGTATTTCTTCAGCCGCTTATTCACATTTGAAAGAGGATAATGCATGAATTAATGCAAGTAAAGACGGTTTATGCAGATAAGCAAGCGCGTTTGTTAACCGTATAAAATGTATGTACATATATACTCCGATGAGGCGGCTCTTGGGGTGTTTGAGAGAAAGATTTTGCGGAAGATTTACGGTCCTTTACGCGTTGGCGACGGCGAGTACCGCAGACGATGGAACGATGAGCTGTATGAGCTTTACAACGACATAGACATAGTGCAGCGAATTAAAATACAGTGGCTCCGCTGGCTTGGCCATGTCGTTCGAATGGACACCGACGCTCCA